CATGCATCAGATGCATAAGGTAATCGAGGTTGATATTCTTTCATCTGTCTACATCCTGAACCACATGAGCTTTTGCTTTACTCAAATAGAAAGGGAAATAGGGGGATCGATTCCTTTATTATTTTAGTGATGAAATGTAGCACAGCCGAATGTTTTGTTTTAGTGTTAAATTTCAAACGGGGTGTGTGTGTGTTGTAGTTCTGTGTTATATTTTATTCAGGAGTTCAGGCTGCTGTAGATAGAACTATGAAGAGCCGAGGTGGCGCAGTGGTTAGGGTGCAGTACTGCAGGCCACTTCAGCTGACTGTTATCTGCAGTTCAGCGGTTCTAATCTCACCGGCTCAGGGTTGACTCAGCCTTCCATCCTTCCGAGGTGGGTGAAATGAGGACCCAGACTGTGGGGGCGATATGCTGACTCTGTAAACCGCTTAGAGAGGGCTGAAAGCCCTATGAAGCGGTATATAAGTCTAACTGCTATTGCTATTGCTAACTCTCTCCTTCTCTTTTTCCTCCCCAAAAAATGTAATAAGTAATAAAACATATACAATGAGCCCTTTACTTTGAGCCCAAAATTTCTGTGGCCAAGTGAAACATTCGTTAAATGAATTTTGCCCCATGTTGCAACCTTTCTTGCCACGGTTGTTAATTGAATCACTGCAATGGTTAAGTCAGCAACAGGGTTGTTAAGTGAATAGCAATAGCAGTTAGACTTATATACCGCTTCATAGGGCTTCCAGCCCTCTCTAAGCGGTTTACAGAGTCAGCATATTGCCCCCAACAACAATCCGGGTCCTCATTTTACCCACCTCGGAAGGATGGAAGGCTGAGTCAACCCTGAGCCGGTGAGATTTGAACAGCCGAACTGCAGATAGGCCTGCAGTACTGCACCCTAACCACTGCGCCACCTTGGCTCTTATAAAATAATTTTATGGTTGGGGGTCACCATCACATGAGACCCACTGTCCTAAAGCGAGGGAATACTGGCTCAAAGTAAAGAAATTGTTAGAAGAGATTACAGGACAAAAGTTAGCTGAAACCTGAAATATTCTTATTGGACATATTAAGGGGAAACGTGTAAAACACTTCAGTATATAATACTGCATATATTAACCGCTGCTAGAATCGTCTTTGCTCACAATTGGAAACAGAACAACACCCCTTCTGAGCAAATGATAATAATAAAGTACTTGAATGTGCAGAGATGGATAGGTTAACCATGGAGTTAAAGGAGAGAAAAGAATCGGAATTCTATAAAATCTGGAATAAATGGTACATTTGGTTAAAAGATAGACATAAAGCTAATACATAAAGAATATGTAAGATTATATCGAAAAGAACGAGAAATGTATATGTCTGTAAATATTGATATAATTTAACCGTATATATATATATATATATATATATATATATAATACACAGTATAGTAACCTAGATAGTTAGTAATTATGTTAATGTGAGTGACATTGATATGGAAACGCTGTAATGATTGGAATTATATGTTGCTTTTTCATGTTGAATATATGTAATAAAGTTTTCAAAATAAAATAAAAACCGCTTGTCAGACACTAGCTGAGAAGATTGTAAATGGCAATCACGTGACCCTGGAATATTGCAACTGTCGTAGATAAAGGCTGGTTCGAAGAGCCTGAACTTGGTATAGCATGGAGATGCAGTGATGGTCGTAAGTGCAAGGACTGGTTACAAGTCACTTTTTTCAGTGCTATTGTAACTTCGAAATACCATTAAATGAATGGTTATAAGTTCAGGACAGCCCCAAGCAGCACTCTAAGCTTCCTAAAGGCTATCCATACCCTCTTTTTTTTTTTTTTTACAAAAAAACGACTCGTTTTCATGAAAAACGGGCCGTTTTT